AAAATGGCAAACTAAAATGCGTGTGGAATTTTTCTTAATAAAAATGAATGAGGCAAATTATAAATTATTAAATTTTTATACCTTTGAAAATTAATTAAAAGAGAAAAATCAAACACATATGTATGAAATAAATTAAGATTTTTACAGGTGAAAACAACGAGATTTTATTTAATCAAAATGAACCATTAAAATATTTAAAGAATATTTAATTAATGTATTGATAATAAAATATTTATGAGTAATGTTGGAATTTAATAATAAAGAATTAAAAAAAGATGTATGGGAGTAATTAGTAATAAGAATTAAGCTAGATTTTACTGCTTAAAATTTGTACTGGAGTTTAAGCCGTACTTAATCAAATAAGTGAACCATTTTTTGGTTAACAAATGTGCTTATTCTAAAAATCACTTAAACCAATAATTTTAAGCAATAATTCAAGTTATCAAATAGGCCCTTAGATATTGAGTTTGGAACTCTCTCACCACCGATGTGGGATTGAGTTTGTACCCAACAAACCTCCCCTCAAACACAAGACCACTCACTTGGGTCTTCCCTTCAATAACAATCCAACTTGTACCATTGCTATCATTGACGGAACACACAGTTTGACCACCATTTTAAGGAAAACATTCGACACCATGCCCACAACTAGGCACATGACTCCACTCCCCTGAGCTCACAACTCGTTGCAAGGTCAAACTGAAAGAACATGCCACACGATTCGCACATCAACTTGGCTAGAACCGTAGCTATAATACCACTTGTTGTAATTTTTCTTCCTCTAGCCCATACATTTTCAAGCCCAATATATATTAGCCTAAACAGTGTTCCACTCTAAAATCAAAGATCAATAGAGGGAGTAACCACCCAACCTTATATATTGAATTTAGAACTCTCCCACCACCAATGTGGAGTGGGTTTCCACCCAACACAATGCAACGGGTGTCCTTGAAAAAGATTTTCCTCTAGTGTTAAACGTTGTAGGATTGTATGATTAATCATTTTGAAAAAATAGAGAATATATGATGTGATAAAAAATTATAATAAAGTATTAATCTCTTGTATGTTCCTATCTTAATCGACAATTAGTACCATTTTAATTTGGACGACACATCATTTAAACCTGCCCAAAAAAGTTCATACATCTTTTAATGATAAGATTAGTGTCCCACAATTCTTTTCCAATATTACACCCAACTTTGCATGAAAAATCCGTTGTTCCAAATATATCCAAATCTAAAATTTTGACAAACTTTAAAATGTTTCTAATTAATACACTGACGTTATGCCTTATAATTATGAGACCAAGTTTTGAGATGAAATGTTTTGGATCCAAGTAGACTAGGCATCCAATGTGTATTGAAACCAGTTTTCTTATGTCAGAAATATCGAACTCGATAGAAGAAGATAGTTAATAAAAAAATGATTTAAAGGACATTTTCGATACATTTTTGCAGTCTACTATAACATATGAGAATGCTATAATTTACTGATAAGGCACAGGAAATTAATAATGTTTCTTCCAAAAAGCTAGATGTGCGAAACTCTTTCAAAGAACCAGTTGGTTTCAGTATATCCATTTTTAGGCGTTTTTCTGTACCTTTAAGAAAGTCCAATTAATTAGTAAAAATAAGAAAAGAAAAAAAAAACTAGCCACTTATTTGATGTGGTCCATAAAAAAGATATTTATTGTCTTTATTTGATGGGGTAAAACGAATTTTTTAAAAATACAAAGGAAAAAGGATTGAAATAATGAAATATTATAAAATCTTCATCCCTTATTTTATCTTATTATAATAATAGTAGAAAATACAACCTTCTTTGTATGCAAAATACAACATTCTTAGTACGTGTAGAAACATGATTGGGATTTCAGTCACTCAAAAATAACTGAAATTGCTAGTTGAAGGCCTTAAAAATTAAATTACAAAATGTAATTATCCATTTCTCTGTACACTTCCTTACTTTCAACCTTCCTTAATTATTTTTCAACGCACCAAAGTATGTCGAACTCTACTACTTAGCCAAATTCTTCCGCAGTCCACATTGACCACCGGCCACAAAAATAAGCACTTTGCACTAGCACATTTTTCTTGCACGTATTGACTTACCGGCAATCAGCCACCCAAGACAACATGACATTACATTCATATGATTGTCAATCGGCTGGCACGAACTACTAATATTTTCCAGGACGTTCGTAATCAACTCTAACATTTTCCGCAAGGACCAATAACGAATAGCAGAGCTAGTGATTTAGAAGGTGTAAAATGAAATTAACCAAATAAGTGTGTTAAATATTGGAGTATCTTTCTTTATTGTTTAAGTAAATCATATCCACTAATATGCAACACGTGGATATAAACTATATTATAACAATTTTAAATTTTATTTTTACATAAATTAACTTAAAGTTTCTCTTAATTTTTAACGGTCGTGTGAAAATGAACAATTACATTTTTTTCTTTAAAATTAATTAAAACACCTCAAAAAATAATAAATGGAGGTGACCACCGGTTTTTCACATAAGCGACCCTCAAATATGCACCCTATGCCAATTAGTTACTCATTTAAAAGAAGAAATTTGTAGGCGACTTCTTACACACACTTTGTAATCGTAAGATGGATAATTTGTAATCTAAAAAAATTGTTTGGTCAAATAATAAAAGTAAATTAATTTTTTATTTATTAAAATAAAAACACAATTATATTATTTTATATAAACCATCCAATATGATTAACAAAAGAATTATATAGTAAAGAGGAAAGCTGGGTACACTAAAGGTATTGAAGGAATGTTGATGGATACCGTGGGAGGTTCCTAAGACGGTATATGTAAAAATGAATTTAGATAGAACTTTTGACAGAAGTACATGAATGGCGGTAACTGGTGGCATTCTCTGCAATCATAATGGTACTTGGCAAGCCGGATTTGCTATGAGTATTGAAATATGTTCCATAACAAGAGCTGAATTATGTGGTTTATTTCACGGGTACAATTGGCATGGGAGAAGGAACATCGGCATGTAGAATTTGAAGTGGATAATTTGTGTGTTGTGGAGTTATTAATGTATGTCTAAGGATTAGTTGGTATATGCATGCTCACGTTTTGTAGAAGGGATATGAGATTTGGTGTCTTGAGACTGGTCGGTTGTTTTTGAAACATAGGTACAGAGAGGCTAATTGCACATCAAATTTCTTAGCATCATATGCTGCTTCTTGTGAGTAAAGATTGCATTTGTTAGGTAGCGCGCCACTGGGAGTTATTCCGTGGATTAGACATGATGTTGTAGAAGTATCATACTTCCATAATGTGGTTGTGTAATACCTTGACCGTAATGCCTCTGTTGCTATAATGTGTGTGTGTGTGTGTGTGTGTGTGTGTGTGTAAAGTAAGGTTTTTAATTTCTATGTATTGTTCAGGAAGTGTTTTTAGGACAATTGTACCAGGTGTCATCATTACATTGGTCTTTCATTAAAGTGTAAAAAATCACTAACTTGGTTAATTAAAATAAAATATTAACTTACTTTTTTCATTTAAATTTAACTATTGTCAATATTTATTATATCTTTGATTTTGTATAATCAATGCGATAAAAACTTATATAAGGAATGTATTTTACTAAATTAATATACTCTATGCATGTCATCAGTATTAATAATCTATACAATGAAATTACTACTCCCTCCATTCTATTTCAATATGCCCATTTAGGCAAAAATAGAGATTAAGAAAAAAGTGGGTAATATAGTTTAAATGGTTAATTCTTAAGTAATTTACTCAATAGACCATTATTAATGACTAGTGGTTACTATTTTATATGGTGAGATTTGGAGTTTGATTCAATTAAATGTTGTCAATTTCAGTGATAGTTATGAGGTTATATTAGAGAAGTCATAGATAAAATTATTGTTGGTGTCATACATGAGATTACATTTTAGAACATCCCAAAAGAGAAATTGAGCCTATTGAATTAGTACGGAGGGAATAATATAGTTACAGTAAAACCTCTCTAAATTAATCCTCTATAAATTCATAACCTCTATTAAATAATAATTTTTGCCGGTCCCAACTCGGGACTAGTACAAAAACTGAAAAAACTCGATTAATTTATAAGATAATAAATTTTCAAGAATCCTTTATGTAAATATAGGTCCCCACATTTTCATAAATTAATAATTACCTCAACAAAAATTAATAATTTCTAGTAAAATAAGAATCTATTGATCTTTGTTTTGTCTTAACAAAGGAGGTTCAAAATTTGCAGCTACACAAAGAACTCTAATAACGTATATATAAAGTTAGAAGTTCGAATTTATAATCGACTTTTCTTTTCTTGTTGACAAAGATTATTTCCCATTAGGAAAACTCTTTGAATTAATAGATTATTAATTTATCGATAAATTAATAACTCGATAAAATAATAAATTTTTGGGAGCCCAAGACTATTAATTTAGAGAGCTTTTATTTTACTATAATTAGTTCCAATCATAATGCTAATAAGGTGAAATTAATGAAATCCCTTTGCAGTACTCCCATATTAAGCTAAAATCAATGATTGAGACGTGGTAAAAAAAAAAAGAAAAAGAAAAAAGATGAATATAGAAATCTCCTAAAACAATAAGAATTTAACACATTTTATAACATTACCTAGAAAATAAAATTAATATGTACTCAATCCGTTTCGAAACAATTGTGCTGAAAATAAAAAATTAGATTGGACAATCATTTTAGAACAATGAGATTATTTTGTTCATTGTAATCATCAAAATTTATATTCGATCCGAACAACCATTTGGACATAGTGGTAATTAATATTACTAGAATAAAACATTTATCAGTAATAATAGACGAATGGGCAGGTTTCAATACGTATTTCAAGTTTTGTAAATTTTGTATTAGGCGCGTGTGTTTCCGGGGTGGCAATTCCGTAAATAAATTCAGGTGCGTGGGCGTGTGTTCCAAAACTGGCATACTATTTTAATTGGGGTACGCCATCATTGTCTTCTGTTTCTATCTTCTTCGTCGGCCTGAATCTTCCCTCGGCAATCAGGGTTGTGAAATTGATCGGATTTTCTTCCTCCGAACTCCGATTCAACGGAGCGGCTGAAATATAAACTTTCAGTTCTTCTTCCGATTGAATTGTTATTCATAATTTGGCGTGAAAAAAAGAGGGAAAAACATTACGGAGATGGTACTATCGCAGAAATTTCACGAAGCGTTCAAGGGGACAGTGGAGAGAATAACGAGCCCTAGAACCGTTTCTGCCTTCAAAGAAAAAGGAGTTCTGACCGTTCAGGAATTCGTCCTCGCCGGCGACAATCTGGTTTCCAAATGCCCCACTTGGTCTTGGTACCCCCTTAATTACCCTCAAATTCTCTTAACTCTCGCGATTCCTTTCTACAAAATAGGGTCACTTCATGCATACTTTTATCCCGACTGTATTCCTTTCTTATTATTATTGTTGGTGGTGTTGTTGTTTTTCTTTGGTTAGTTGGGATTATCTTGAATGTTGAGCATCAATCTGTGGTTTAAATTTTGTGATATTTGGTGTGTAAGCCATCTTCATTAGTTGGTTGTGGTGGGACTCCTTATGTCTTCTCTCGAGTCTCAATGAGCTTGGAGTTACTTAGTACGTTGACTCTTGAGTCATTTTTTTAGTGTATGTACCTATGAGATTCAAATACTTATGCTCAGATGAATTTATCACGAATGTCTTTATGTGACTTTGTTTCCATATGGAATTGTGGTTTGTGGGCTGCTATTTTGTAGAATGAATGTACTATGACTGTCATCATGTGACTTTGTTTCGATTAGGAATTGTGGTCAATAGGCTGCTATTTAGTATGTTGTGACTAGTTATATGGGAGGGTTGGGGTGTTTGATTAAGCTGTAATTGGATTTTTCTTGATTTTCTCAGTAAGCAAGGTGGACGATGATGGTAACAATCAGAGTGGATGACAAGTTATGTAGTGTAAGAGATTAAGTTGCTATAATGTCTTACTAGTGAATTGAAACATTGCTTGAACACTATGGGCTAATATCTCCCTCTCATATATAGCTGGTCTTGGAAACTTTTCATCGACAATCACGACGGGCTTGTTTGAACACAACTAGCTAATTTCTTCCTCACTTCCAGCACATTTAGTTATTACAGATCAAATTAATCAATTGTGTTAAAAGAAAAATCTCACTGCAGGTCCGCAATGGAGAAATTTTATTACTATCACCTTAGAGTTGAAATTAATGTAGTGGCATTGTGTGTGTATCTGCTACTGTATGTACATATGATATTGCATCGCAATGTTCAGGAGTCTTCTTTTTTGAATAAAATTAAATGTGTATTCGTTGCAATCTTATTGCAACTATGCATGTATGAATTTTATATTTTTAATAAGAGTTGAGAACTTTAATTTTGGGTTATTGCCAGCTGCCAATTGCTTTGATCAAATAATTCAGTTTACTTGGGACAAATTTGTTAGAGAATATCCTGGGATGAGATATTTAACACTTCTCAAGGGATCAGACAGCTGCAAATTTATCTGCAATCAAGTAAAGAGAAACTTTATTAAAGGGACTTAAAATCCTCAGTCATGTTAAAATGGTGTTATGAACCAAGAAAAGCACTTAAAACAATTATTTTAAGTGAATACTGCTTCATGCAAAACGGATAGCTAAGAGAAGTATATTAATAGAACCAATTGGCAATGTAAACATGTACTGGGAAACTAATTACGCAAAGTTTTGCTGTATATTCAATTAGATTGACTTGTAATGGTGAACTTTGCCTTGAACAACTTCCGGGGCGATGAAAATTGTAGCCAAGATGAAAATTTGAACCCTGGAAAGCCCAAAATGTGGAATATTTTCTGATAGATCCTTTTCTTCTTCTTAACTTGACTTGTTTGTAGTCTTTGCAGTTTTAATGTCGTTGCTAGATTGTTGCAGTTGGGCTGTCAGTCTTGACTAGCCAACGCGAACTTATGTTTTAGGATATTGTGATAAGTTTGCTGAAATATTGCTTCTAATGCTATCATCTTGCTTTGCTGGAATGTCGTTTTTAGGTGAAACTGTTTTGGAAACAAACGTTGATGGAACATTGGATTTCAAGATTTGCTAAACAAAACTAACATTTCTTTCCATCAATCTTGTGCTTTTTATTACTATTACTGTTTCACCAGTTTCCGCAATGTGTTGAGGTTTAATCTGGACTAGTTGTATGCATTAGGTAATTGGGGTTTTTGATTCATTTGAGTGATTTGTTTCACCATTTTCCTTTCTCCAAGACATATAGGGTGGATTAAACTGCTGCAATTTTATTTATCAATAATAATTGAATTGTTTCGTGGCTAATAAATAAGCAGATTAAACTTAAGAAATGCTAATTATTGTCTAGTCCTCTGATTAGTGTAATCAACAGTATAATAATCAACCAAAAAAAAAGAGATTATGCTACTGTATAATCTTTGTACAAAATGCTTTTTCCTGAACAATATACTGGGCAGTATGTAATAAGTTTTCATAGCAGTCCTAAATTAAGTAACATTAACTCTTTGTTGAGGGCAGCCTTTGTTTTGTCCCTTCCACCTTCAGTGAAACTAACATAACCCGCCTTTATGAATAATATTGCGGCTTCTTGTGTCTGCCTCTCTTGCAGTGTATTCTCTGGTGTTTTCTTTTGTCTTTTTATCCTTTCTGGTTGCAATTCATTCTGTAGTACTCTAAATTATCATTCTTGGGTTGGTCCAAGCCACCAGATTAGCCGCGAGTTGATCCATAACTGGAATAGAAGGCTGTGTTCTTATTTCACATTGTTCTCCAAAAAAGAAGTCAGTATTGGAGCCCTTAGTATTTGGTTTTGGGTTTTTTGATCACTGTAAATGTGAGATTTGTGTTTGAATTGCCTGTGGAGTGATGGTGTTTGAATTGAGTTATTGCACAGAGGAATCGGATTCTCAAGTTTGATATCAGCATGTTCCTTATTTTTATTATTTTGTTGGTTTTCGTGGTTATATTTTTGTGCGTTCTGTTCATTTTTGCTGTAGAACGAAGCCATTGATTTGTATTGTTTTGTTTTTGCCCAGTAAGAAATCTTCAGTTTCTACAAATGTAAACTGGCATTTATAAAATACATTGATGTATTTTGATGATTTGTGAGGTTGTAGGGTGGGTTGGAGGTTTGTTTTGGTTGAAATTAGTTTAGTCTGCATTTGTGGTCGTCCTTACTGGCTATCTTATCTGTAGGGAATCAGGTGAGCCGAGCAAAAGGAAGTCATATCTACCGGTAGACAAGCAATTCTTGATAACTAGAAATGGTGAGAATTGTTTCTTCATATATCCTTTGCATGGTTGAATATGTTTGCAGTATATCGCACTTCTTTCATACTTCTTATTGATAAATTTTGTTTATGTTGCATTTGTTAGACATTTGACGTAGACTTGTAGCATGACCACAATCTATTCTATCTGGTTTGTATTCATTTTTGGTGATAACGAAATGGTGGTTCAATAAGTGTAGATAACATATTAGCATATGGAACTACTTTACATTTATATCGTTGAAACCAGGCCCCTTTTGTGTGTTGTCATGGTCAGGATATCAGATAGCATACAAACTTTCATTTGTGCAAGGAACAGGGATATAGTGAGGATTTATTTTGAACCCACCATTTTAATGAGTGAATGCATATTTATGAGGCTTATAATGTTCTAACATTGATGTGTATCTTGTAATTTATGACTTGAGCATCTAAATGCTTGTGTTTTATGCTGGACTGGTTAATGTCTTGATGATTAGGGCCTTAATCTTTCATTATTTATTGCCTTTCTTTTTCTTTTTTTTGGGGGATTCATTAGTAGGAGGCTCCCAATTCTGTTGTCTTTGAAATTTAACAGGATAGGGTGATTTGATAAATGAAATGAGAGTGCTTGATGTGGTCATGGTCACAGAGATAACACAACCAATCACTTTATTAAGTGCAAGGATGTGCCGCTTTATTCACTTTTCATTTTCACTTCTATTAGGATTACTGGAAACATGTCACCTTTTTTTTTGTGTAAAAATCCATCTATGGATAGAAGCATTTTGAGGAGATAGGTGGGAAAAATGCCAATTAGTGGAAAGAAAGTATGTTGTGTTTCAGTCTGTTGCTAGTTTACTGAGTTCATGTGACCTAGCCACCAATGTTACAATGATAACTGATGGAAATGGAAAAGTTTCTAAGCTGTTTACGATTATTATTATTGAAAAAAATGAATAGGCAGAATTTCTGAAATTCAATGGATTCTTTCTTATTTCTTGGTTATGTTTGTACGTTGTTTTATTGCAATTAGCAAACTTTCATCGGTTAAAGTTCTCTATAGGAAATAAAGTGGGCTTAATTAACTAAGAACATCTATTTCTCTCTTTAATCAAACAGCCTGAAAGCTAAATTTTTAGAATTAAGCATTGTTTCAGGTAGTTGCTCTTGCGATTCTAATTCTACTATCATGCAGTACCTTGTCTGCGGAGAGCTGCATCTGTGGAAGAAGAATATGAAGCTTCTGGAGGTGAAGTTTTGCTTGATAATGAGGACGGTGATGGTTGGCTCGCAACTCATGGAAAACCTAAAGGTCTTTGTGTTCATTAATGTGTTGATTTCGTTTATGAATGTTATAAGGTGACTTCTTCTCAACAAAATGGTTGCTTTCCGCAGAAAGCAAAAGCAGCGATGATGAAGATGTACCTTCAATGGATGCATTAGATCTTGGCAAGAGCAATACTATAAAATCAATCCCATCGTATTTTGGAGGCGAGGAAGAGGAGGATATTCCTGACATTTCTGAATTCGAGGATTCTGACAATCTAAATGAATCTGACCCAGTAAGCTATTCTTAAAGACCTTATGTCTTCCCCCTTTTCTTTTGGTTCCTTTCCAATGAGGATATATAGTGCCTAAGTTGATTTTTTGTGATGCTCTGTTGGGATCTATTTGGATCATGCTGAAATGAACACAGTGGTGGTCTTAGGGTTTCTGTTTGACGGTTATGCCCTATTTCTTTGTTGATTTCAAGTAAATTTTGATGTTCACCTTTCATTGTTGGCTCTGTCATTTCTTTCATCATGCGCATTGCATTTTACTAGGGGTTATCTCTATCAACTCATGGAGATGTTAGATGAGTACTTGCTTTTAGTGTTCGATCTAAATGCTTCTCTATATTTGCTATGTGCTCTGACCTGTTTAGTAACTTGCATGAACAGTTTGCTTTGGCAACTTTTAAAAGAATAGCAAGATTCCTATGAGATTTTTCCGGGTGTACCTTTTTCATTTTTTGATGAGAATGTAAAATGGTTGATTGAGTAATATGTTGTTTTTACCTGACCTTTTCAGGCAGCACTTCCGTCTACCTACCTAGTGGCTCTTGAGCCTGATGATGACAATATTCTCAAAACCAGAACTTATGATGTGAGCATCACGTAAGTGTCTATGCATAAAATTCCGAATTTGTAGATGGTTCTCTCTGTTCCTCTCTTCATTCCTTCGACATGTACGTATACATTTGGTTTCTTTGTTTGCAGCTATGACAAATACTATCAAACTCCCCGCGTGTGGCTAACTGGCTACGATGAGGTTGGTCCTTTTTTTCGGTTTGGCGATTTTTTTGATAAATGATTATGTATTTCAATTACATCTGTGCAGTGAGAATGATAATTATAGAGGAATCGATTCCCTTGGAGAATCCCCGTCTATTCTTTGTAATGGAAAGGGGAACAATTATTTACTGTTTTCCCCAATATAGTATTTTTTAAAAATTTTTGGGTTCAAGAAAGTTTGATGCTATTTCCCCTATATAACTATTTATTTGGTTTATTTTGGCTTTTTCTTTGTGGAGAAATAGCATGTTCTTCCAGAGTTTGCTTCCCATTTTATGTTTCTGAATTTGTCAGCAATCATTAGGCACATTACAGTAATCCTTGAAAATACTCACACTCAGGAAGTTTCAGTTTATGGAAGCTTCTCATCTGAGGACTTCTTCAAATTTTGCTTCTCAAGGATTTTCATAACTTTTTCATGTCACTAGAATTCTGTGTATGGTTCAAGTTAGCCATTTTGGTTATTTTTGGCAGTCGAGGAAGCTTCTGCGTCCAAACCTTGTTCTTGAAGATGTTAGTCACGACCATGCGCACAAAACGGTGAGATTTTTTCATATTCTTGATAGATTCTTGTGACTTAAAATGTTTGAACTTGTAGTGTATCGATTAGCACAGCAAAGTTTGACTGGGCCAAAACAGGAAAGGACTATATATAGAAACTCATGTTATTCTCCCGGTACACGAATCATGGTTCTGGTTGCTCCAATGAAATTTGTGTCTTGCAGTCGTGACTGAGTAGAAAAATTTGAGCAAGTTGGCTTGTTGCATTTTCGTAATATGGGTTCTGGTTTCCAGAATAATGTTTCTAAGTATTTTCTTTCTCCTGTCCGCTATAATAAATGTTTGTTGGTTTCAAATGTCCCTTGGTAAGTTATCTTCCGGACACTGTGGCTTTGTTTGGAAACATCTAGTTAAGGTGTTTTTTTTCATTATTTCTTTAGTTTTTATTTGCTTTTTATGTTCCCCATGTGTTTTAGTTTTTTGACATTTCCAACAACATACCTGGGCTGTTTAAGTTTGACCCATGTTGCATTGGTGTATTTGATGTATTTGATTTCCAGCAACTTCACCAAAATTGCAAAGCACCACGAAAAATGTCAATGATGACTTTTAAAACCAACAATAAAACATTTATTAGAGTAGATAGGAGACAATCAGTTCTTAGACTATACTTGGTATTATTAGTGTAGACAGGACAAAACATTTATTTCCAATATAAGCAACAGGGCCTAAAAGTGGTTTCAAAGAGAGCCTTCTTTTTTACTATCCTTGGTGATTATTTGATTTTGTTCTCTAGTGATTGATTTATTTTTCTATTTAGATCACGGTTGAAAGTCATCCACACTTACCTGGAGAGCATGCATCTATCCATCCATGTCGACATGGAGCTGTAATGAAGAAAATTATTGATGTTCTTGTGTCTCGAGGAGTTGAGCCAGAAGTCGACAAGTATGCTCTTCTGTTTCTTCCTTTACTTGATAAAGGCTATGGTGAATTGCTTGGCCATGCAGTACCTTTTATTTTGCGTGCTCTCTGGTTTTGCTTTGGTACTTTTCCTTTCTGTCGACTCATGCCGGGCGACCCTGTCCCTGTCACTAAAATTTAAGAAATTGGCAACTCTTTGCTATATCTTGTGTACTTTGCCTTGCCCTCGTTGCTTTGAGATTTCGTGGATTTAGTTCATGAAGTAATGATTTTAAGTTTCTGCTTTTACAGGTATCTTTTCTTATTCTTGAAATTTATGGCTTCAGTCATTCCAACTATTGAATATGATTATACCATGGACTTCGATCTTGGCAGCTCAGGTGCCTAATTGCAAGGTAATTTGTATTGAATCAGTTTCTGATTGTTGCAAATTTATATACATGTATTTTCTCGACTGCTCGGCTATGACCGACTCCTCCCACAAATCCAAACACAGTACTTAGTAGGCTACATTGTAAGCCTTTTTTGTCATTGTTTTGTGATATTTCTTTCCACTATCACTAGATAAGAGGTTATTCATAGTGATTTTTATCTTATTTTTATGGCAAATGACTGGAATTACAAGGTAACCTAAGCTTGTACCAATCTTTAAGCCGGTGTTTGTAATTGTATATGGGAAGAAGTTCGGGTTTGAACTTGAGCTTGTATCATTTTCAGATATTAAATAAGTTTGTTGTCAAATCATATGGTGTTGAGTTCAAAAGCTTTCTGTCCTTCACTGAAACTGTATGGTTGGATTTCTTTCATCTAAAGTGTAAAGATTATGTAGTTTAACCCTTTTTTAACATTGTTAATCACTCTGTCGTCATTCGTGTAAATTATGTGAGCATTTTCATTTTCTTTGCTGATCAGTTTTCTTTGTCCTCTTCTCGCCTTGCAGTTCAGACCTTACCACTAAAGGTTCACTTAAGTCCATCTTCCAGTCCAGCTTGCTGTGTGGTCCATCTCCTCCAGCTTTGCTTTCCTGTATTTATGTAAATATGTTAAAAACTATGATTCTCTCCCAGCTTTGGGCAATAGATGCTAAAGCTAATGTTACATCTATTTGAAACACTTGGTGTGTCGTGCGTCAAGTGGTGAATTGAGTTTATATTCGTCTATATATAAACTATTGTTAATTATTATTCGACTGATGAGGTTTGGTGTTAGCCATTTGTTGGTTATTTGCTCTGCGAAATTCTAGGCTTGCATTCTTTGAAATTGATACTGTTCAATACAGCGTTGAGAAACAGCATATATGCTTGTTTGGTTCTATTGAAGGTTTATTTTTGAACAATATTGTGCTAGTATAAATTTAGAACAAAATTGGGACAACAGTAGATTAGACAGGATCAGTTACGAATGACAAAATGTGGAACTAGGGATGATCTAATCAAATTTTGCTCCCCAGATGTTCTTAACTCTTCAGAAGTGAAACTGATCATTTCCTACTGATTTCTGTTAAACCGGTCAGTGTTAGCTAACTGTAGTTTTGACTAATTTTACTTGGAACGTATATTTATATATTAAAGATCATCGTTAAGATTTAAAACCAGTAAGGTAAAAGAATCATCTTGAAAACTAAAAAATAAAATTACACACTAATTTGTCCCAAATCTCTTCACTATTAATATATAAGATTATGGTAGATTCTTTTTTCTTTTATTATTGAAACAGCATAAAAAAAAGGAAAAAACGGGAAAAGAATGGAAAATGGGCATTACGTGACTGTTGACAACCCCATATTCAACAGAACCTAAATGGGCTCTGTTGTTGTTTTTTTTTTCCCCCTTTTTCATTTACTGAATTCAAGCACCATTTAAAATATCAGCAACATGGGCGACAACGACCAAATTTATATAGATTTCCCTTCTTGCTTTCAATATAGTAAGGAATTTATTGGAGATATTGCAATCTATAGTATTATACTAAGAGAGAAACCAGAGAGAGAAAATCAAACTTCTCCTCCCCTTGACACATAAGACAAAATTCTATATGTCATTTTCCTATAGGTTGACACTAAAAATATTTACAACAATTACACAAACAGTCCTTTAAATTTTCAGTTAATAAATTATTATCAATTCTTAATTAAAGTATATCAATTAATTGTGTAGTAAACTTTCTATTTTGCATTCCTTAAAATGAAAAAAAAAACCGAGAAATTTTTAAAATCTCAACATTAAATAAGATTGATTTGAAAAAGATGTGCCCATGGCTTAGATAATGGTATTAAGTCTTGATTTGATCATTAAACAATATTAATGATCATTTAAAATTTAAAAATAATAAATACAAAATCATCAGTGATTCTTTAATTCAACATTAAAGTTGATTGATTGGAAAATATTTTTTTATGGGCTTGAGTTATGCTATTAATATTGTTTTTATCATTAAACAATATTAATGTTTTTTTGAAATTCGAAAATAATAAATATAAAATCATCATTGATTCTTAATTCAATAATAACACTGATTGTTTTGAAAAGATTTTTCGATTGGCTTGAATAATGTCATTACATATTGGTTTGATAATAAAACAATATTAATATTTTTTTAAAATTCGAAAATAATTAATGAAATTGTAGATAATATTTTTGTTAGAGATATATCATCTATAGTCTATAATATTATACTAAGAGAGAAACCAGATAGAGGAAATCAAACTTCTCCTCCCGTTGACACATAGGGCAAAATTATATGTGTCATTTTCTTATAAGTTGCCACAAAAATATTTACAACAATTACACAAACAGTTCTTTGAACTTCCAGTTAATAAATTGTTATCAACTCTTAATAAAAATATATCAATTAATTGTGAGGTAAAATTTTTATTTTGCATTCCCTAAAATGAAAAAGAAAACGATAATTTTTTAAAATCTCAACAGTAAATAAGATTGATTTGAAAAAGATTATCCGATTGGCTTGAATAATGATATTACTTATTGATTTGATCATTAAACAATATTAATGATTATTTGAAATTCGAAAATAATAAATACAAGATCATCAGTGATTCTTTAATTTAATATTAAAGTTGATTGATTTAAAAAAAAATTTTGATGGGCTTGAATAATATTATAGATATATAAAATGTACTTATAAAACTTAATTGGGTTGCAATCTCAATTTATACCAGAATCTTTTCTTCTTCTTCTTCTTCCTTTTCCTCTTCCTCTCCCTCCCTCCCCCTCCCCTCTCTCTCTCGAATTTATATATTTTTTTAATGATCATTATTTTTTTTTTGTGTCAAAATATTTTCGCTTCTAACTTTTGCAAGTTGTGGGCAAATATTTTTCTGCAACAAGGATTTTCGAATACACATCATGGTGAGTTTCTTTGCCAATCTTACATAATGATTTCAATGTGTGATGCTTTCTTGGGACAACATGTGAAATATATGATGATGATTCGCGAAAATGAAATATATTTAACATGTATATCAATATATGGATCTCTTTATTTTTCTTCTGTAAATAAATAACGTATAAAAATTACTTTTATTGTAACATTATTTAATTTAGTGATTTTAAATTGTATATCAATTTACTAAAATATAAAATATTTCTTTACTTATTATTATGTTCGATTTTATACATAATTTATTTATCCCGCACATTGTGCGGGTACCATCTAGTATTTATAAAAAAAAATTTTAAAAAAGAAAACAAACTGTAATGGGTAAGAAAATCTAAAGAAATAAATGCTATTTATGGAGGCAGTCAACAGTCAAGACTGAGGTGCCTGTTATAAAATTCTACTGAAAAATACCTTTTAGTCAGCCAAATTCTGCTCTCCTCCTTAAGATGGCGAAGATACTGGCTACCATCTTCATTATTACTGCAATAATGTCTTCCCATCCAGGTATGATTTACCTATCTTTATTGAACTTGATTTCAATATTTATCATTTCTCCATTATGTACATCATCCTTGCAAAAAATTATATTAATTCTTTTATCTATTGTTTCAAAGTTGATCGAAAGTCCCAGAATGGATGCCGTTTTCTCCAGATTACTATAATCTGACATTTTTAAAATTTACTAAGGAGTTCCATTTTCTCAATACGCTAATGTTTTTATTCGCAACGGATTATTATTATTTTATTTTTTGGTTTTTACTTTTATTTAAATTGCAGGTGATCAGTGGAATATTGTTCAAATGGCAGATGCTACAAAATTTTGCGATTATACCTTCAAGAGTGAATGCTTCACTATTAGTTGGGCTGTTTGTTCAGAGACTTGCAAAGCTCTTTATGAGAAAAATTACATGGGGTTTACCTGTTTCCCTGATAAATGTTCATGTCACTATTATGCTGATCAATGTGAGCCAAACCCTCCAACTAGGAGTAATCCATGATGGATTTCTGATTGGAAAAGAAAGATATTAATGTCGTGCGATTTATATAATTCCTTTTTATTGAAATAAGCTTGGTTAAATCATTATTGTGGTAGTTTAATTAAATGATTATTCAATTTGAAATTTCATGAATACTCATTTTAGGTGAAATAGAGCATTAATTTAATCCTTAACTTTTCTATGCTTGATTGTATCCATATAACTTACGCTCAATTAGATTTGAGGTGTTTGTTAACATTAATTACATCAATTCAGTTTAGGAATTAAATCGTGCCTTGTGATTAAGGAGTTGTACCTTTAATGATAAAAGTGAGAATTTGATTCTTACAGTTTACTCGGGAACAAAGTATCGTTAGATATGGATGTCGATTATTAAGTCATGGGTTATTATACTCCGGAGCGAATAACAAACCAATTTATTACACTAGTTATTCGTAAGAGATTTCCTTAATCTTCAAATATTCTCGAATCCTCATTCATCGTTAACTACACTAATGTCGGACAAACCCGACAGTTTTCGAATGGCTAGATTTCTGCAAGTTGTTCGGGTAATGGACAGGTTTCGACAGCTGCAAATAAAACAAACACGCACTGTGTTTATGAGTACGTTTTGAGAAAGAAGAGCTTAAGTACAGAAGAGGGGGAAAATAAATTCATACATCAACTAAATGTTCAAGGATAAGAATTAATCTTCAGAATGCAGATGAAAACGACGGGAATCAGACATCAATTGGCAAAAACACCAGAAAACTGGCAGCCCTACCTTCACAGCTGCATATTCCCCCGGCTAATTTATAGAATGAACAAATCACAATGCTACCAAGAATCATGCAAGAAAATCTGTCAGGTATACCTATTGTTGAGTCGAACGATACTACTAACTCCAGTCCTATGAACTGGTGGTAGTATAGAGGAAGGCTCACTAGTGTTAGGGATGAAAGCAGATTAGAGTTATTTCTGCCCCACCATATTCCTTTAAAACTGTTAATCCTTCTTCATCCACCAATGTGAGGCTGGCAATATCACTTGCCCTAACTGTCGACTTTCGAAGAGGCCATCCTACAATTCTTGTCACTCATATTAGGTGGAGATCCATACACTGTAATAGTCCTCTATTTCTCCCATCCCAATGCCAGCCGTGGAGTGTTAGAAGCTGATTAGCTGCTTCCGAAACTACTCGGATGAGACGAAAGATGAAATGGCGTCCATCTCCTGCTGTAGAAGTAAAGCATCAATAAAAGTATCCAAACTCTCCCCTTCCAACATGTCATCGATGGAATGACTAGTGATCCCGACACGATGATCAGTTACACGCCCTTGCGGAAAGTTGTACGTGCGAATGCGTTCAGATCGATCCCCACTACCAATCTGTTCAATGCATGGAAAAGGCTCAGCATTGTTATGAAAAGACCAAAAATATTGTCATGAAAGAAACTATAGTTGTACATAATAATTATTTTACCTGCTCAGATCGGAACTGTGATCGAATTGAGTGAAGTCTTGATCTTTCCATTTCATAAAGTCTTGCACACAATACTTTGAGTGCTTTGCTTTTATTCTGTTTAAGATCCATTAAATTAAGAACTCAACTATGAGCACTCGGGAAGAGCAATAAAAATAAAATCGCAGCTAGAGCTCGAACTACATATTCTTGTATATATGAAGTGGAAATAAAGCAGTTTTACAATAATATGCAGTGATTGTCAGGTAAGAAAGTAGCTAATTGCTTAGGTATTCAAATGATATAGTAACATAACCAACTGATCGGTCATCCTGTCGGAGTGTGTCCGCATAGCCGGATAAATTGAAAACTCAATTACCTTATGTTGAGACCTTTCATCCTGTATGGTAACGGTAATCCCTGTGGGAATGTGAGTGATCCTTACAGCACTATCAGTAGTATTGGCATGCTGACCACCTGAGCCACCGGATCTATACGTATCAATTTTTAGATCTTCATTCCTCAGCTGCACATCAACCTGAAAAAGAAACATCGTAGGCACACATATAAGCTTCTGAAACAGATACTCGAAACCTCAGCTGGAAACACCAAATAGAAGCAAAACTGAGTATCAGGTAACACGGAAAGAGAAAAACTACACTAATGATTTGTATATCCAGGACCTGATCTGCCTGAGGGAGTATTGCAACTGACACAGCACTTGTATGTAGACGCCCAGACTTCTCTGTCACAGGAACCCGCTGAAATTGAATAATATCAATATAATTTCACCCAAAAGAACATAAGTCCATAACTAGAAGCAGTGAAAAATGCAGCAACCTGTACTCTGTGAATTCCACTTTCAAATTTAAGTTTCCCATATACACCGACACCAGATATTGATGCGCTAGCTTCCTGGAAAAGTTAATTTTGTATCAGAATTACGTTTGAATGGTCAACAGCCTGAAGCCTGCAAAATAAGGCAGAATATTTTTCATTTTTTCTACTTATGTGTTCTTTGTTACAATTCCAGCACAACATGCGCAGCCAATGCCCTGAACACTTGACCCGGATTCAGGGATACAAGTAACTCCACCTTAGCCAACAACCTGGCATGGGCGGTTGACCGTTCGAACTAACTACCAGAATGATATTCATGTTAAAATTAATATAAGGGCCGGTAATCTCAGACAAAGTCAAGATCACATTCATGTCTACTAAAGCAAGCTAAGACAACCTTGTATCCTTTAAGATCTGACTGTGCAACATCAATCACTTCAAACTTCCATCCACTCCTCTGCGAGTACTTTTCATACCTGGCAGAGTATAGAAGTTAGTATAGAATAAATATCAATTACCCATGCATATAGGTTGCATCAGATAACAAAACTCACATCTTAAAAATTTCCATTGCAAATAGAGAAGCCTCCTCCCCTCCAGTCCCTAAACAACAGGGCTTTCTCATTACAAGAAATGCATATACAAAAAGAGAAAGTGGAGTGGAAAAATAGGGTACCAAGCTTCATTGTTAAACCATACCAGCTCTTACTTCCAAAATGCAGTCACGTTCATCTGCATCATCCTTTGGAAGTAGATGTTTCAGCAGAAGATATTGTAATCTCTTCTCTTCTGCCATCGCTTGATCCAATTCTTCAGATGCCATCTCTTTCATGTCTTTATCATCTTGACAGTCAGCTATCACTGATTTCAAATCATTAATCTCCTGTGTGTGTCACAGAAAGAGTGGGAGGTCTGGTAAAGAACCGTTATATGTAGCAAGAAGGATCCAATAATTTATGAAATCAACGTATAGTTGTCATGCTGACTCTACCTTCTGTTTAGCCCTTAAATCAGTTATAAGTTCAGCTACATCTCTAAGCTTCCGCAGCTCCTTATTTGCCCTCGAATATTCTTCCGGCGAGGCTTCCGGCTGTCTTTAATCGAAAGAAAGGGTTATAAAACGAGCATGCATAGCTAAATTACTCGCATGAAGTGTGAAGAACAAAGAGTGCATAATCTTGCTTTAAACTCCGATTTAAGAGATCTAGAGAACCAAACCTAGTAGCATAAAACAAAATAATGGATCATAATTCACTTGTCAGAATGAAAAGTGGGCAACAAACACCATTTAACCACAGCTTCCCCTGCCAAGGATGCAGTACTAATGTGAAGAGGACACTTAATTGCTAAATAAGGATGCAGTATTAATGTGAAGAGGACACTTAATTGCTAAATAAGGATGCAGTACTAATGTGAAGAGGACATTCAATTGCTAAATAAGGAAATAACTAAGAAACTGCTTGTTTTTAGGGGCATAAACATTACTCCCTCGGTCAGTGGAAACAGCCACAGTTTCTCTATTTTTTGGACCAAATGTCAAGTTCCTGTGATCTATAACCACGTATGGTCATTTGTTATGAAAGTTATAATGCTTGTTTTGACAATGGTGAAATGAAATCAAATAGATCATTCCATAAAGCAGAGGAAAAATTATTTATTATTGCTTCTCACCACAAATGAAACTCTTTAACGATGCTAGTTTCAGTATAAACAGTCCCATGTCGGGATTTAGTTGTTATTATGTACTTTCAAAATTGAACTCCTGTTTATTGGAGCTGAGGGAGTAACAAATACGAACTGAACTAATACGAACGAAGAAAAAAATGGTGCACGCTACCTGGTTTACAATTTGATGAAGATGATCACTCCTATTTTCAATGGCTGATAATCTCTGCTCCATAAGTTTCATGAGTTCAGGGGACATGTGATGTTGCAATTCTGGAAAATTAAAAAAATAGATGAAATAAGGATGCAATCAAATCCAAAAACAGCTAGCGGCCCAGCAAACTGATACTAGGAAGAACACATTAAATCCCCAATAGTTATTCCAGAAAGAGATTAAGAAAATGACTTTCATCAAAACAAGGCCACAAAAAAAGCTATTCAATCAGTCCAACTAAAAGATTTCTATTCATAACCGTTTCCTTATCCTTTAGTTTTACTTGTTCCCCATGAACAATGTCTTATGATCATGGATTATTCACAGTCGAAGCAAAACCACTAGAACCAAGAAAAGTACCATAAAAACGAAGCAGTCAGTCCGTAAACTTGGCTCCTCGACTTTGTTTGGACCATTATCTTGAAAAGTTTCGGATTAGCTATCGATCATCACTCTCCAATTTTAAATTGCCATTGACAAAAAGTTTCACCAAAATTCTTAACAGTTGATCAACAAGAAAAACTCCATGCGCACATGAGACTTCATTTATCCAGTGAACTAAAATTAAATATAGAATGATGAGAGGTTGAGTCGAAATTAGGGACCAGTCTTAATCAAGGTAAAACTAGTCTCATTTGCACAAAACTACCTTACTTTCATGCTGAGGTGAGAAGGTGCATTACAAATTCCACGTTACACAATTTGGCTTTTCAGAAGTTACTGAAATCTTCTGAGAAGTCATTCTCTCATTGCATAAAGAAACTAACTACCATACCAATCAAATGAAGCTAGGATATCATATCATCGATTTCGTAGAACTAACAGGGTAAGCTTCATAAACTAAGTTGCAGAAATCTAAGTTAATGGAATCGAAGGAATATTCGCATAACAAAACCAGCAAACAATTGAGAAAGGAGGGAAAACCGGTGGAGTATTGGCGCCAGTGGAGGAAGAGAGACGAAATGCACGAAGCGGGCCTAGGTCGTATAACAGAGGGGCGAGTACGCCATCGAAATTCCGCCACCGTTGGCCGGGGAAGTTGCTGATTGATGCTTCTCAGAATCCTCCGCAGCAAACTTCCTCGATCCGCCATGCTTGCCGTCTTTGATCTTTCAAAATTTCTCCGGTAGTACCACATAGACATAGTCTTGAGATGAGATCACCTTTTTGGGCTGTGTGTCCCTCAGCCCAACAAAGGCTACTTCATGGCCCGATCTTTTCATGTACCAAATTGTCACGATCCAGGGACTGATTTGGTTAAATAGAAACGAAAAGGGTTGTTTTGCAAATAGTTAGCCGTCAGTAATAATTGGCACAATGATTGTATTGCCATTTCTGTAAGAGCAAGCCCAATGCGGGGTAATTGGTGCTTGAAATCCGTGCCAATTACCCCTCGAACCATGTCTGGCCATTGCATACGGTGTAAAAAGAAAGAGACGCAACTTCAGAAAAAACCTTCTCACTCCACCTACAAGGTCAGAAAAGTGGGGACACAACATGCTTTTGGAACTGCCATTTCATAAATAAAGATTTAAATATTAAAAATGGGTCAAAATGGGCCACATGTTTTACCAATATAAAAGTAACAAGTATTGGTGAAAATACTTCTTTTACTAGAAACTGACAAAATGGCTGAATTGCAGACAATGGGGACTATATTTTACCAAACTGCGTTGAGGATGCTCTAATATTGCTATTTTGGGTAGATTTGGCTATTAATGACTGCAATCATCGTGTAATGATTATGGAAAAATTACCAATTCTTTCTATTGACGCTTATTACCTTCTTCTTGTATTTTCTGGAACTTCCCTCTCTTTTACTTCTCAGTTCTCACCCCTTGCCTTTGAACTCTGATTCCGGCCGCCGTCTTTCCATCTCCGGCGAGCCCTTTATCTTTCCTTTATTTCTTTTCCTTATCAGTATCTGACACGTTGGTATCAAAGCCGAGCAATCCTCGGCTTTGAGAAGACGCAAAGATGACACAGACTAAATCCCAGCTGAATTGGAGGATCTCCATTCACAAAATGACGACTTAAGAATTCAGGTGACCAAAATTAATCTTCGGTTGGCTGATTTTGATAAGATGTTGGATACAAAGCTTGAATCAAGGTTGGAGGCCATCACCGAGTTGTTATTCGCTAAGATGGAGGCAAGGTTTCCCGGCAATCAATCAAGATAGACCCAGCTTGTTCTTCAAACCCTAATAGTGGGGTTCTTGGACCAATTCCACCTAGATTGGCAAATCAGACCAGAAATCAGCATCAAGAAAAGGTGCCAGAGGTGATCACGGTGGAGCAATTGCCGACCATTGCTGCTGGAGCCAAAGAGAAGACGATGATTAACAAGATTCCCCATTATGCATTACCAAGAATTGAGTTGCCTATGTTTACTAGACAGAAACCGCGTGAATGGTTTCAGAAGTGTGAAAAATTCTTCCTGATACAGCAAATCTCTGAAGAAAAGAAGGTTGATGCGGTTGAATTGTATCTTGATGAAGAGGCCGATACATGGTTTCAAGCAGTCAAGATGATCAAGCCACAGATTTCTTTGGGGGGGGGGGGAATTCTTCAAGGAACTGTTGAAACAATTTGTGGATATTGGGAAAATTAATCCGGTAGAAGAATTTAATAAGCGGTCACAGAGGGGAAGTGTAAGAGATTATCAAGTGAAGTTTGAAACACTTAGGGCGAGGATGTTGATCCAAGATCCCAGATTGTCAGGAGACTACTTCAACCTGGTGTCAGGATGATGTAGCCATTATCTCTAATTTCAGCCTTCAAGATTGCTGGGTTACAAGAGAAGCAGTTGGAGATCACCACCAGGAAGCAAAGACGTCCTCCTTATCAGGTGAATCGACCCTATACTTCTTCTAGTAAAGCTACTGAGAATGCTAGACCTGTTAACAGGAACAGTAAGGCCATTAATCCAGATTTTGTGAAGAAGTTAAAAAATGAGGAGTATAAATATAGGGCTGATAACCACTTGTGTTTTAAGTGTGGAGAGAAGTTTGTTCCGGGACATGTATGCAAGTATAGACAGTTCAACATTATGATTGTTAATAATGAAGAAGAGGAATTGGAAATGTTGAGATTAATGCCCGTAATTGCTTTCGGATGAAGGAATTGATCTGAATGATATTACTATAGAAGAAGTATCTATGCATGTTCTTTCAGTTGATTGTGTTAAGCAAACAATTTTGCTGTTGGGAAAGATAGGAGGAATGATCATCAAAATACACATAGATACTGGAAGCACTGACAGCTTTGTTGATCTGTTATTGGTAAGGGATCTTAAAGTGCCACATAAGGAATCTAATCCATTCACTATTACTGTGGGAAAGGGGAATAAAGTAACTGGAAACTTGATATGCCCAAACTTGCACTAGAAGATAAAGGATTAAAAGTTTAACTATGACTTGAAGATTATGAGGTTGGGTGGATATGACTTAGTGTTGGGAGTAGATTGGATGAAGCATTACAATCCTATTACATTTGACTATGATGATATGCATATAAGGCTCAGCAAGTATGGTAGACAATACATTCTTCATGGTACAGGAAACATTGACAGTTTGCAACTAGTAAGGGACAAGGATTGCCAAGTTTTAACTCAGGAAAGGAGGTGCAGATTAATGGCAATGCAACTACAGGCTCTGAGCAGTGAAGAGATGTCAGTAGTAGAGTATCCTTTACCTGAATCCATCTGCAAGTTGTTAGACGAGTACTGTGAAGTGTTTGATAGTTCTCTGCCTCTAAGTAGAGATGTGGATCACCAAATTCTCCTGAAACCTGGATCTCAACCCTTCAAGATGTTACCTTATAGGTGCCCTCATGCCTATAAAACTGAGATAGAGAAACATGGAGAAGAGCTTCTTAAACAAGGTATTGCACAACCTAGCAAGAGTCCTTATGCTTCACCAGTGATCTTGGTAAAAAAGAAGGATGGAACTTGGCGTATGTGTGTAGACTACAGGGAACTTAATGATATGACTATAAAGGATAAGTTTCATATCCCAAGCATTGAAGAATTATTGGATGAATTGCAAGGGGCTACTGTTTTCTCAAAATAGGACTTGAGGGCTGGTTATCATTAGATACTAGTCAACAAAGAGGATGTTCAGAAAACTACTTTCCAAACCCACCATGGAAACTATGAATTCTTGGTGATGCCTTTTGGACTAACCAATGCACCAACAACCTTTCTATCCTTGATGAACCAGGTTTTTCAATCTCAACTCAGGAAGTTTGTGCTTGTGTTTTCTGATGACATCTTGATTTACAGTCCCTCTATGGAATTGCATTTATTGCATTTGGAAGAAGTATTGAAGGTTCTCAAACAACATCAGTTGTATGCCAAGAAGAGCAAGTGTAGTTTTGCACAAGCATCAGTTGAGTATCTAGAGCATATAATTTCTGGTCAAGGTGTTAGCATGGATCCATAGAAAGTTTCCAGCATTGTGAAATGGCATGTTCCTGCCAATGTTAAAGTTTTGAGAGGGTTCTTGGGTCTCACTGGTTACTACAAGAGATTCATAAAAGGATATGGTGTGATTTGTAAACCACTGACCAACCTTTTGAAGAAGAATTCTTTTGTTTGGAATAAGGATGCACATGATTCATTTCAGAAATTGAAGACTGTGATGACTGAGGCTCTTGTATTGAAGATGTCTGACTTCTCCCAACCATTTATAGTTGAAACAGATGCCAGTGATGTTGGAATGGGGGCAATGTTAATGCAGAATGGACAACCTTTGGCCTTTTTGAGTAAAGCATTCAACCAACAACAAAAAGGAATTTCTGTTTATGACAAGGAACTTATGGCACTAGTTTTGGCTGTAACAAAGTGGCGGCACTATCTATTGGGGAACAAGTTCATCATCACGACTGAACATCAGTCTTTGAAATACCTGTTGGAGCAAAAAGTTATTCATTTCAATAAGCACAAATGGCTTACCAAGCTTTTGGGATATGATTATGAGATACAATATAGGAAAGGGAAGGATAATAAAGCCGTTGATGCTTTGTCTAGAGTGGAACATGTTGATAATGCAGCTGAAATCACTTTTTTGCTTTAACTTCAGTATTTCCACAATGGATCAGTGATGTGGCGGCCAGTTACCAATATGATTCTGTGGCTTTAGATATCATTGCCGGTGTGACTATTGATCCTTCTTCTCATTTTGAGTATCAATACGTTAATGGCATCTTCAGGAAAAAAAGAAGAATTTATATAGAAACCAGTCTGATTTTGAAGATGTCTATTCTGGAAGCAATGCATTCTTCACCACTAGGGGGCCATTCTGGTCAGAATGTGACTTTGCAAAGGATGAGGACAACCTTCTTTTGGCCAGGAATGAAGGATCATGGGGCAAAAATTGTTTCTCAGTGTGTGGTCTGTCAAAGAAATAAAGGAGAACATGTAAACTACCCAGGTTTGTTACAGCCGAATCAGTTCCTCAACATGCTTGGAAAAGCATATCAATGGACTTCATTGTCAAGCTGCCACCTTCTGAAAAGTTTGACACTATTCTGGTAGTTGTTGACAGACTGATCAAATTTGGTCATTTTGTTCCATTGGAGCCGCCTATTACTGCTTTCAGGGTAGCTGATTTTTTCTCAAAGAAATATTCAGGCTTCATAGATTGCCTAATGATATCATCTCAGATATAGAGACCGGGTATTCACTAGCCATTTCTGGCAAGAATTGTTCAAGTTGTTGGGTGTAAAGATCAAATTGAGCACAACATACCACCCACAGACTGATGGACAGATTGAAAGGGTAAATCAATGTTTGGAAGCTTACCTTAGATGCTTTTGCTGTTATAAGCCACTTTCTTGGAGCAAATAGATGTCATTGGCAGAATGGTGGTACAATTTCATATCATTCAGCCATTAAAATGACCCCCTTTGAGGCTTTATATGGTAATAAACCACAACTTTTTTCCTTGGGACCATTCTGTGATAGTGTGATTCCTGTTGCTCACCATGATGTTCAGACTAGAGCATCTATCATCAAGTTGCTGCAAGAAAACAAGACCAAGGCATAGAACAGGATGAAGCATTTTGCAAATCAACATTGTTCAGAACGTGAGT